TGGCAGTTTTGAAAAACAACTGCTGAGTTACCAAATATGAAGTCCACTGTTCCATAAATACTGCATTCTCTGTAGAATTGGCGATTGGAGTGTGTGTATAACGTGTCTTGGTATGCATCGAATTTGCAGCGATAAAAGACAGAGAGATCAGCAGTTGACATTACGGCAACTGCTTGATGCTTGGCTGCACCTGCTGTGTTGCGGAAACCCATGTCCCGAGCTATGAATCCCTTGCCGAACACAGCTGTGTAAGAAGAAAAATGGAAGTAAGTACATGCATGTATATTGCTTAGGATTTAAAAATTTGTAGGAACCACTGTTTGTCTCATGCAAAATTAGAACAAGGACTTACCAAAAGTTGCAGATTGGAAAGTGGGAGTGCCATCTACAAAGTTGAGAGAGCCAGAAACAGTGGTAGCATCCATACCATCACCAATCATCATAACATTCCATTTCTTCTTCTCAACTATAACATTCTCCACATAAACTCCCTTCTTCACATAAATCACAAACCTTTTGTTACTCTTCCCAGGCACTGCCTCAAGAGCATCACTGATATTAATAAAGTCCCCAGAGCCATCTTTAGCTACCACAGCGTCCACTTTGATCAAACTCTTTCCTTTTGAAGATTGAAGCAATTTCCTATCTTTTGAAGCCATCCAACTTGGAAAATCTCCATCAAAATTCATCAAACGACGTCTTCTCCCAATTCCACCCAAGGAATCCATTGAGTCAATAGAATTTTGAATTGATTGATCCATGATATCAACAATGGACAAGCTGTTACTAGTATGTTGACCCGAATTCTTGAGGTTATTGGAAGCCATACTTGCAGAACTATAAGTAATATCCCCAAAACCATCAATGCATGTTTGCTGGTATGTTCCAGCTGCACTTAGCTTTGTCTTGAGGTCAGAAAACCCGTCGAACAACGACTTGCTTGGAATAGAAAGAGATTCATTGAGGCTATCTAGTGCAAGTGAAAGTAGATCATGACAACTTCCCAAGGTCTTAACAGCCATAGGATCAGAAATATTCTTCACTTGTGGCATATTGAAGAACTCATCCGAAGCTTTAGAGAGCTCGTTGATAGCAACTTGGACGGATAATTTGTAAATATCTTGAGGTTTAAGGTTGTCTGATTTGGCTAGAGGTCCAAGGCTGTTGTAACATGATTGAGGGTATAATGTTACGTCACAAACAGCTTTAATTGCTGTGGAAAAAGATTTGGATTGACTGCCTGATGAGTCCCCATTTTTGGCGTAAGTTATACCAACAACAGCAGCTACAATACAACCAACAAGAACTATGGAAGAAATGGCAATAATGCTGATCTTCTTCACTGTTTTTTTGCGAGCGGCCACATTTTCTTGATCAGTTCCATTAGGAAGGGCCATTTTTTGCTCACTACTTTTTTTGCCCCCCTCTTTTTTTGTTTTTGTTTTTGTTTTACGTTGATGGGAATTGGGAGGCAAGTCTTTATATAAGATGGATTTTATGTTTTACGTGCAAGGCATAAATGTTAGGGAGTTAAGAGTTATGAAGAAGAGTCTATTGAAACGAATGTGCTAGTCATGTCTTTATTATGCACCAGTTCAGTACTATGAATGTCATGGTGTAGCATACCTATAAGGCTATGACGAAAGCAAGGGGACTATGCTTGGTGAGGTGGGATTGGGGAGGGGTTTAATTGAAAGTGACTAATAAAAAATGTAAGATGAATTAAAAGGAGAGTAGTGGAGTATGCGGTTAAACCAAGTGACATAATGAGAACAAACCACTTAGCCTATAAGGCTATGACGAAAGCAAGGGGACTATGCTTGGTGAGGTGGGATTGGGGAGGGGTTTAATTGAAAGTGGCTAATAAAAAATGTAAGATGAATTAAAAGGAGAGTAGTGAAGTATGCGTTAAACCAAGTGGCATAATGAGAACAAACCACTTGGCATTTTATAAAATCTATTTGTTGGATTCTATTTGTATAACATTGAAAAAATTGTTATTTGATATTCTTTTGTATCCAATTAATAATTGGATAAAAAATCTGTTGGCAAAGAAAGATGAAATCGAGCTATCCGTGAACATATATTACCATATTTGGAGTAATATTATATGACAAATAAATTCACGGGTTTCTTAAAAATATTTTGATATTCTTTTCTAATTAATAATTAAATTATTTTTGGTGGGAATAAAATATATAATAGAGTTGTCCATGAACATATATAATCATATATGAAGTAATATTACATATGACAAATACTCTGTTGAAATATGAAATTAATGCTTTGAGTTAATACGGGTAAGAGAAAAAGGTTTGAAATATTCTGCTGACATAAAAATGGAAAGAAAAAATTCTTTCCAAAAACATGTTATGGACCAAAGTCCAAAAATAAGTAAAAGAAAAAGATCATTATGATATGACAATATACGATTACTCACACTTGCCATACAAAATTACATGATCATCTATTTGTAATACTATTAATAATTTCTTTTACGATAGGTATCCTTTTTTGAGAAAGAATCAATTAAAATTTCATTTTGTATCTTACATATTAATTTTAAGTTGAAACAATAATTCTATATTTAGTACAAGCTTTGTATCTGACCTTATTTGCCAACAATATACATTAATATAGATATTTTTAATTAAATTTTGTGTATAATTTAGTTATGGTAGGTATTTTTTTAAGAAAGAAATAATTAAATAAATGTTTTGTATCTTAATATTATATTAAAGGAAATAGTATTAAAAAAAATGAATAAGAGGACAAAGGAAAAAAGATCCGTATCATTTCTTGCGCACTCACTCATACAAATTGATTTACACATACCCTTTTTAAATATTAGGATTTCAGATACTTAAAAATTGATTTACTACGATAGTCTTTCCTTAGAAATCTTTATTTAAATAACTTTTGCTTAGGTTTGACTTCTCTACATTGTTTAGGGTTTAACTTCCACACAAACTTCTACAAAGTATGACTCCAAACTATAACTATATCAGCGAAATATCAATGTCCAAAATGAGTTGGAATTTGAAGGTTCGTGTTGTTAGATTATGGCACGTTCCAGACCGTGAGAAACCAGAAAATTCTAATTCAATTGAATTAATTATTCAAGATGAAAAGGTGCTACTTTTTTATATGTTATTTTTTTCGAGTTGTGATGTATTTTCTTCAACTTATGCGCCTTAATAACTTAAATTTCTTTTCAAGTTTTTTGTTTTAGGGAGATCGAATTCATGAAACTATTGGAAGAGCTGTTATGCGTATTTTCAAAATAAAAATACATGAAATGGGATTGTATATGAAAAACTTTGTGGTTAGACCAAACAATCTGAAAATTAAGACCAACAAGCCTATATTGAAACTAACATTTTCTCATAGGACGAGTGTGGATGAAATTAGTGATCTGTTGAACATCTCACAAATTAATTTGAGGTTGATGAGAATGAACTATTTTGTAATTGTTTTACCATTTGCTATCTTTTGTTGAATGTTTTATCACCTTATTCATAACTATTTATTTAAATGTGGCAAATATCATAGGAGAAGATATTGGTCACGATAACGTAGAATCATACAATCAAGGTGGTAAAACAAGTACCTTTATGAACTTGGAGATTGAGGATTATGAGTACACTTGCAATCATGAATTGAATTAGTTATAGATTCAATTACTATTATTTTCTCATTATTAATTTGTGTATTTTACATATAGGAGGAACAATATTTCAACAGTTTTTTAGGGAGAATTTGTAGATGAAATTTTACCCCACTTGGAAGGATCATCCAATCAACCTGTCATAGTGGTTATGCAACTCATAAAAGCTTGCAAATTTCAAGGTACTCAGATCGCAATATTTAGATTTGACTTCTATTTTTGTTTTTGTGTGTTTTTTTTAAATTAAAGTTAATTTTATATGTAGACAAAATTTCTGTGCATAATACTTGGCATTCCTCGAAGCTTTGGATTACTCCTGATCTTCCACAAGTTGCTGAATTTATATCCAGGTTTTTTATATACAATATTAAATCTATATATGTACTACATAATTTTTTAGAATATTTAGAACTAATAAAAATTTGGACAAATACAAATTAGGAAGTGAGCTTGAAGTTAACTTTGAGAGGATTAATCAAATAATTTTTCAACGTAGTTATTCTGTTTATGAAGAACTGCCTGCTGAAATGTGAAAGTTAAAAGCATTGGAGAATTAATTGATTTTTTGCAGGTAAGTAAAATGTTCTTTAGACTAACCGTGAGTCCGTGACTAGCAAATATAGATCTGTCATCTTATAAACCTGACAGATATATAAATATAAATATACACATCTGTATCAGTTAAAACCATAAACAATTTTCTTTCTTTACTAAATATAATGAATGATAAAGTTGGAAGAAGATACTACTTTTCCAACCATTAGTCAAAGTGGTATAAAAATCGTGAATACTTCCCTTTGCTTACCTCAAAAATCAATTAATTAATCAGTTAGATATGTCAATACTGAAATAGTTACAGTTTACTGTATATGAATCAGTATTCATTCCGTTCAATTTGAAGTTGAAAGAAATATAATATGCTATTTCTTGATGCAGATATATGATTTTGACCATGATTATAAAGATGTTGGGATGCTAAATTCACAATAAAATATATTATTGTGAGAAACTGCTTAGAAAATGCCAAGGCTGATATGCTTTTATCAGCATGGAATTCTCATACTAAACGGGGAAAGTATGCAACAATTTTAGATGCCAACTAAGTTTCCTTCCGAAGGATCATTCTGGCATATATTCTTCATTATCTCATCAGTAATACAATATATGTTGTCTCTCATTCCTTCAAAAATTGTCGCCCAAGGAACAGAAATTCTTGAGTTTTTACCCATGCCTTTTTTTTGGTAATTAGACAATCTTTATTACCAAGTAAATATATACAAGTATAATAGTAAACTAAGTTTGGACATGCAGCCCCAAACTCAGTACAATCCTTCTACTCTAACAACTCATAAGGATATAAATTTAATATTTGAAGTTCATTCCTTAAGCTACTCTGCCCATTTCTTATACAATGTATCTCTTGTATTATCTGTCTTATGATAGCTTCACTACTTCTCTTTTCCTGCTGAAAAATTCTTCTATTTCTTTCCATCCATATCTGGTAAACAACACTTGTAATACACATTGTGTACATCATGGTTTTCGACCCTTTATCTTTCCTATGATCTGCTGTCCATTTGAGCTCCTCATTCCATCCAGTTACCCTTCGTACCAGTCCTATCCATGCTAACAGCTTCCCCCATACTTCTGCTGAGAATCTACACATAAAGAACATGTGCTGATGACCTTTCAGCTCTTGATCACATAGTGAACAATTTGGATTAACTTGTAATCCCCAGCTGCTCAATCTGTCTTTGGTATATAGCTTCTCATGTACAACAAGGTATAATATGAACTTACACCTTGGACAACCTTTGTTATTCCATAATAGTCTGCTCCAATTTTCCTTTGGGAAATCTCCTCTCAATTGATTGTACATTCCCCTGATAGAGAATGATTTTGTCCCTAACACCTTCCCAATATCCAACCTTGCTTTATTTATATATTTCCCAGCCTGTAGTATTTTTCTGATAATCCATAAAGCTTGCTTCGCTTCTACTTGCCATGGAATCTTCCCCTTTATATAGTAAACATGCACCCATCTTATCCATAACTTGTCCTTCTTCATACAAGCATTCCAGAGTTGTTTTAATAGTGCATCTCTATTCCATGTAGTGAGATCAATGATGTTTAGTCCTCCCTTGGATTTAGGCCTGCACATCTTCTCCCAAAATACCAGAGCTTTCTTACTTGCATTGGTGTCACCAGTCCAGAGAAATTTTCTGCAAATACCTTCAACCATCTGTATAATTTTCTTTGGCAGTGGAAAGACCTGTGACCAGAAGGTTTGGATGGTAATTAACACACTTTTTATCAACTGTAGTCTTCCTGCATAGCTTAAGAATTTTACTATCCATTGTTTGACTTTACCCAATATTTTATCCAATAGAAGTTGGCACTGGCTCACTGACAGTCTTTTTGAGATCATAGGAACTCCTAATTATCTAAAAGAAAGTTTACAAATGGTAAAACCAGTAACTTGAATAATGTCATGCTGTACTGCTGTTGAAACTCCACCAAAATACATGTAACTTTTACTTTGGTTTGCAACAAGTCAAGAAACTTTTGAAAAACTGTTAAAACATTCTCATAATAGCTATATAGACATCACATCACCTCTGCAGAATAGCAGCAAATCATCAGCAAAACTGAGCTGGACAATGCTCAGTTTCTCACATCTTGGATGATAATTGAGATTGTGTTCCTCCTTTAACTGTTTTAGGATTCTAGTCAGGTACTCCATTGCTAATACAAACAATAGTGGTGACATTGTATCACCCTGCCTCACCCCCCCTTTTCTTCAAATGGCATAGTAGGACTACCATTAATAGAGATGGAGTAAGATATAGTTCTGAGACACTCCATAATCCATCCTATAAATACTTTGGGAAAACACGACCCAGTTAATACCTGCCCCAAAAACACCCATTCAATTGAGTCATATGCTTTTTGCATGTCAATCTTGATCATGCATCTAGGTGAGATCCCTTTCCTTCCATAACCTTTAATTAGTTCATGACTGAGCAATACATTATCTATCAATACTCTTCCTGGAACAAAGGCTGCTTGACTCTCATCCACCAGTGTATTCATTACTTGCCTCAACCTACTTGTCAACATTTTGGATATGATCTTATATAATATAGTGCAACATGAGATAGGTCTATACTTTCTGATTGAATTTGGGTTTTTTACTTTAGGTATAAGGGTGACTACTGTGTTATTGATAGGCTTATACATTCTCCCAGTAGTAAAAAACTCCAGTACTGCAACAATAATATCATCTCCAGTAATATGCCATGCTATCTTAAAGAAACATGCATTAAAACCATCCCCTCGGTGCCTTCATGTCATCTATACCTCTTAGTGCATCCATTACATCTTCCTTTGTGAAAAGAGTAATGAGCTGCAACTGCTGCCTTCTAGTTAGCACTGATCCATTCCTTATCCAGCCAGGATGAATAGCTGGTATGCTGCCCCTTGCAGTTCCTAACAGATTTTTATAAAACCCAATCACTTCAGCTTCAATACTCTTCCCGTCTATCAACACATCCCCTTACTATTAGTGATCTTTTTAATTTGATTTTGTGCTTTCCTTCTTTTCATGCTAGCAAAGAAATAAGCACTGTTAGTATCTCCCAACTTTAACCATTGCACTCTTGACTTTTGCTTATAGAGGGACTCCTCAATTTTATCCCACTTTTCTAGTTGTAGTAGTAGTTCCTTGTCCTCTTCAAACAGATTACTTGTTGGATTAGCAATCTTCATTCTGCCTTGTATATCATTCAGTTCCTTCCTTATGGTAGTTATCTTCCCTTTGACATTCTTAAACTCCATCTTATTTAATTGTTTCAAAGAAGCTCTTATAAGTTTCAGGTTCCTCCATACAGCTTCCATACCCCCATTCCTCATTGTCCAGTTGCTTTCCACAATCTTTCCAAAATCAGGGTGATCAACCATACAATTATAGAATTTAAAGGGTCTTTTCTTGTTATCACACCTTTCCTCTACCTCAATCCCCAGTGGAGAATGGTATGAGAAAAGAGGATTCAGTATTTGAATTTGACTAAAAGGCATATTAATCATCCAGCTGTCATTAACTATTGCTCTATCACTTCTGCTATACACATGACCATTTGTCCATATATATGTCTTTCCCACTGTAGGTAATTCTACCAAACTACAATCTTCTATAACTTCTTTAAAATCTCTTATTTCATTATCCTAAACTTCACTTCCATGCATTCTATCATCAACCCCTAATATAGAGTTAAAATCTCCCATCAGCAACCAAGGTCCCATGCATTGCCATGTTAATTTCCTAATTACCTCCCATAATGATTTCCTGTCTTGCACACTATGTTGTCCATGGATTGATGAAAAGTAGAACTCCTTATTAGTCTTCAGAATCTTCATACTGCCATGTATAACCTGAGAATGTTTTTCTACACTATATATTGCAACACATTTGGATTCCATATTACCCAGATTCTGCCTTTACATGTATTTGACATTATGACTCTATTCCCATCCTGGTAGTACTTTCCTAATTATTTTAGCTGCTTTTGTATCTTTTACTCTATGCTCACATATTGCTATCATATCTACTTTATTATCCCTCATAAACACCTTTAACTCTTATGCTTATACACTTTATTGAACCCCCTTATATTTCATATGACTATCATATTGAATTTAAAGTGTTTTATCCCATCCTCTCCACCTTCACCCCTCTACTTGTACTACATTCAGCTACTCCTCTTGTTATTTGTTCTTGTCCTATTTCCAGTAGGCTATTGAAACCATTCAGAACTTGGATGCATTACCCAGCTTCCTGTGTTCTTTGCCCTTTTGCTGCAGATTTACTTTTAACTTGTTGCTACTCATCTCCACTTCCTTCTTTTTTTTTATCATTGTTCACTTGTTGCTTATCAGTTTCCTTTTGTACTTCCTACTGATGCTGGTTTTGTAATCCAACTTCTTTATTGATAGGCCTCCACTCTGTTCTCTGCTTTGCCATTGTCTTTTGTTGTTGATGTCCTGTTTTCATCTCACCCCCTCCTGTGTTGATCTGCTTTTGTTGACAGTTGTGGCCTATTTGCATACATTTTGAACAATATGTAGGTTTCTAATCATACCATATCTCTTGTGACATGATTCTACCCTTTGGATATTTTATTTTAATAACATTTGGTAACTCCTTAGTAACATCAACTTCTATCAATATCCTTACATATGAGATTCTCTCAGTATTCGAAGTACAAACATCATCATATATTAGCTGGCCGAAACCACTACCAATTTTGCTCAATGCACTTGCACTCCAACAACATAGAGGTAAGTTAGGTAGCTTGATCCAAATAGGAATTATCTTCAAGTCCTCAACATCAAAGTCGAATTCAGCAGTCCAAGCCTTCATAATAACTGGTCTATTGTTAAGCATATGTGGCCCTGAATACATAACCATATCCCTTTCCTCCAAACATGAGAAATTAATCACAAAATAACCAACATTATGACAATATATTTTGGTTTCATTGAGAAATCCCCTTGTCCTGCTATAAATCTCTCCATAGCCCCAATCGAAGGTGATCCCCCTATGACATATACTATTGCTGCATATTTCCATTTGTGTATTTCACTATGAATATCCTCTTGTACCAGTTCTACAATCACCTCACCCTCAACGATAGTAGGCGGTATGAACTTCAGATCCATACTCCTTTTGCCAATTTGTTCCCCTCAAACAGCATCGACCATGTTTTAGCTGGCTTTGGTTCAGATTCCAACTGTAATTTCCTCTGTGCACCTTCTGTTTGAGCTACTGTTCCATTAGTGTTTCCACTTGGAACAGACTTCAATTTCAAATGTTGATGCCCAATTTTTCCTCAAACTATTTTTAAATTTGCATATATGCCTTCAAAATCACTTTTTATAATAATTGGCATTTTCCATAATTTTTCATATTATTATCAATTTATTTTCTAATTTATTCAGTACTTTATATCCAATAATTATTCATAAATTATATTACAAGTAATTTCAAAGTATTTCTTAGTTAAATATATCATTTTTAATCATATTAGGATTTAATTATTTCACAAATTAGCCAATTTGGCATTATTTGGCTATAATTACAATAATTTTGCAATTATAGCCTAATTATACACTTTATGCTATTTTAATTCAATAATCAATTATTTTATATTTTAAATATTAGTTAATTACCTTAATTTTACCTATTTATCTTTAATTTCATTTTATCCAATTATTAGATATTTTTATTAATTATTTATCTAATTTTAATTGGGTATTTAACAAATAGCCAATTCCATTTTCAATTCTAGCCTAATTGAATCAGATCCCAACCCAATTAAATAACCCACCAGACCCAATCCCAAACCCAAACCATATCCGACCCAATCCTGGTCCAATCTGGATCGTTGATCATTTCTAATCAACGGTCCAAATCCCCCATACCATATTAAACGCTAATGACTACCCCTATCTCTCATTCCCCCCTCTCATTCTCTCTCAACCGCTCTCTCTATCTCCCTCTCTCTATCTCCGGTTCTCTCTAGAACTTTCTCCTCTTCCCTCCTCTCCGATGGACCCGGTCCACCTTCTCCAGCCACCCCCCTCGCCGGAAACCATGGCCTCTCATCATCTCCTGGACTCTGCTTCACCCCACACCGGTTTGAAACTACCCTAAGGTCCTCAGGTGAACCTGGAGTGGTTCAACTCCTACCCATGGTCCTTCATGCCATTTTTCGGCCACCTCAGGCCGTTCGAGTAAGATCTATGACTTTTCCGGTTAAAACCGGTAACACTTTAAGGTTTTCTCATCTTTTCTGGGTTCTCTGAAAACCTAACTCTTAAGATTTTGCGATTTCTTTTAGATCTGTGTATATTATGAGCTTTTGTTGTTTTCCTCAAAGGTTTTTTCGATTTTTCTAAAGTAACTCTTCATCTTCGAACAAGGGTTCTTAAAAACCTTTTCAAAAATGCTTCTTTCTTCTGATTTTTGTATTAATCTGCGAGTTTCTATGTTTAAAACTTTTGTTTAAGCTTTCTCCTCTATTCGAGTTATTCTATTGAAAACCTTAATTTCATCTCCTAAACTTCTTAGATATGTACAGATCTGAGAAGAATCGAACTTATTTTTGCTTGTTTTTATGGAAAATCTCATAATTTTCTAGTGGCTTGTCGTCTTCCTAAATCAGGGTTTCTGAAAATCCTTTT